TTTTTTTTTTTTTTTTTTTTTTTTTGTCTCTGAAATGTGTATATGTGGGGTGATTTATAGAATTTGAAACCGAGCAAGGAGGCCTATCAGCAGATGTGATAAAGAAGGCATTTTATGCAACGGAAGAGGATTTCACACGATTTGTGAAGCAATCGATGCCAGTCAAACCACAGATTGCTTCAGTTGGATCATGTTGTATTCTTGGTGCAATTTCAGACGGTGAACTGTATGTAGCGAATTTAGGAGATTCAAGAGCGGTTCTTGGGAGGAGAGGTTTTGACGGGGAGAGGAATTTGGTGGTCGCAGAGCGGTTATCAACTGATCATAATGTTTCATATGAGGAAGTGAGGAGGGAGGTACAATCACTTCATCCAGATGATTCTTCGATAGTGCTCCATTGCCATGGAGTTTGGAGAATCAAGGGCATAATTCAGGTAGTAGTTTATGCAAACAGATGTACTGATTTATGCTTTTGGAAATCCAATATGTATTGTTTCTAATTTGATTCAAACTGGTGTAAGAATATCTTAGAATCTATATCAGGTGACTTTTAAACAGTTGAGGCTATCAAATTTCCTAATTCTTGGAGCAAAATCTTCAATCTCATTCTTCATAGAGGAAAGCTAGAATGATTACCTGCTGTCTAGCTTTTACCTTACAAGATTTCACACAGATGTTCATGATATGTTAAATTTGAAGGTTTAAAGCTGCGGTCTTGAAAATGAAAGATCCCTACGTTGCAGCCTTTGTATTATTGATTACAGTTTTAGTTTGGTCATGATATAATGATATACTTCTTGTTTATTATACTATCCAATTTGGCACATCGTTGCATGCGAAACGTACACCAAGTGTTCCTCACTTTCGCTTGTTTATTTTGCTATCCAATTTGTCACATTTTGTTGGATGTCTTTACTTATGTCAAGATTGTGAAAAGGCGTCCATGCTAAAGGGCATCTTTGATGCACAATACAAACAAGATTGGACGGTATGGTGGACAAGATTGTAGCTTCTTTTCTTGCACATGTTGCTTTTTTTTGTTTCTTTTATTCTCTCTCGGTTCACCAAGGAAGATAATCTCTTGATCATTGAGGACCTGAATCAGTCACCTATAGTTCACTTAATATATTATCCTATTCTATATATCAAGCTTGTTCTAAAGGGTTATATCTTCACTACTCTTCCAGGAATCACATGCGCTGCCTCTTGGCCCTTTCTCATGCAGCTGAAGTCAAAGTAGCACGCCTTCGGGCTTCCGCTCATGAGATGTACATGAAGATCTTATAAAGCAGTGTTGTGATTCTGGTGAAAGTTTAGTCTGGGGACTATAGATTCCTTGATGTTCGTATAAGTATTAGTATCTATGTTTATGTTTATGTTTCTTTTCCATTTAATTAAGAGGTATATGTTGTTCTTAATGAGGAATAGAGGGCATCTGCCTGTGTGTTGAGTACCCTTTGCTTGTTATCTTCCATTTATTTTTTATCTATATCCTGTCAAAATGTATTGAAAATGCTAATTTTTCTGTTTGTTCTTTCTAGGTGTCAAGATCTATCGGTGATGTTTATCTCAAGAAGCCCGAGTTTCACAGAGATCCAATTTTCCGACAATTTGCAAATCCTTTCCCCATGAAGAGATCAGTATTAACAGCTGAACCCTCCATTGTTACTAGAAAGCTTAGGCCACACGATTTGTTTTTAATATTTGCCTCAGATGGCCTCTGGGAACACATAAGTGATGAAGTAGCTGTTCAAATAGTATTTAAACACCCAAGAGCTGTAAGTATACCAAGTACCTCTACTTTTGTGGATATAATTTCAGTTTAGCTGTTTATAGTTTGGTTTATCTCGAATGCATTTCCTCTCGTTTTAATCAATCGTTAAGTTGAGGTCTTAACTTTGTCATCTGCTTCTATAGATTTACACCTGCGTGATATTCTCGTACTTGTCTGTATTGTTTTTTAGAAATGTGATAAGAAAATTTAGTTGGATGATTAACCAAACACGACGATTTTGTGTGGTGAAACTTTTGCAGGGAATAGCGAAGAGACTGGTAGTAGCTGCACTTGAGGAGGCTGCTAAGAAGAGGCAAATGAATTGTAAGGACCTTAATAAGATCGAAAAGGGAATCAGACGTCATTTCCACGATGATATTACTGTGATTGTGATTTATCTTGATCATACCTCTTCCAGTTCCAATCACAAAGAAGGCACTCTTGGCTACATCACTGCCCCTGTCGACATTTTCTCCCATAACTTCGATGAAGTAGTTGAAAATTCACCCGACAAGATTCTTCCGAGGGTCGTCTACTGAGAGGCGAGAGCATGGTTAAATGGAGATTGGAGTGGGAAATGATCATTTTTTACTTACAGGCTGCTGTAGATAATTACTGATGGATGCAGGTGAAAGAAAAGTCTAGATTTTACCAATACACATGTTTTTTACCTTTGGTTCTTTGATTATTGATTTTTGTCCAAGATTTGCTAGCAGACTATGTTCCTGAAAGTTGAAGTTCACCATTTTCGTTACTTTTTTCAATTTATAGGAGCTAGTGAATCTATGCATAGGCATTCAGTTCCTGCAACCTCATGTTAAGTAAAACATGGATCTTTAACGACATTTGTCCTATAGAACATTATGAAATCTTCTTGTTACAACAATGCCAGAGAATTTGTCCAATACCTATCTTCAAACAAAGCAGGAAAGTTTCTCAGTATTAAAGAAGTTCTCTGTTTGCATTGATCGCCAGATCCTTGACCAATTTCATAATGATTAAAGGGATTTTGTTGTTTGCTACAACTATACGGTATCGTAGACAAATAATAAAGAGTGAATAAAATATCATTTCCATGAAGCCAGCAATTCAATTTGGTTCCTATTAATACCAACTTCAACCGAAATGGTAAAATTGTATGGAGATTGATGGTTGCGAAGTAAATCTATATCTTGAAAAAATATGAAACTTCCAACTGAACTATTAAAAGACTTAAACCTTGAATCCTCGTATATTCCTCTAAATAACATAAACCAAAACGCGAAAGATTCTTAAATACATCCGCTAAGCTCGTAATAACCACTGTTGTTGTCTTCCTTTCTTTTGTAGTAAATTGTAAGTCTTACCACATCATCACCCTGCATGTGTGGCTTGTTAGTCAACCATGTACATCTAGAACTACTGTGCACTTCAGCTAGGAGTGAATAAACTTTGGAAGTTTGTTTGGTGGATCGAGAATCTCCAAGAGCCGAGCTCTAAGCTCAGGACTCACCTGATGAACTCAAGGCAATGCATTCAAAATCAAACGGTCCAGCTTTGTCAAGCATTTTCTTAAGCTTGACAAGGTCCATATGGGATCAAACGTTGACTTAATCAGCTAAGTGACTTGTATGTGCCAAATGCACGCCATATTGCCCACAAAAACATCAGATAGATAAAAGATATAGAAATCTGCAGTCATTACAAACATTTCATTTTAAAACCTACACACGGATCCAAAAAAATCAGAACTACTCATCCATTTCAGGTAAAGAAAAGAGTGTTCTGTGTATGCACGTCGAAAATAGTCTATGAAGAAAAGCAACACCAATGTTTTACTTGCTTTTCCACTAAAGAGTAATACCATCAACATATCTTGAACCGCATATACAAAACAATTGATTTCCTCAAAAGAAGTAGAACCATTCGCCATTCGCCATTCGCCATTCACTTGAATCTGAAATATGGTTATTTAACGAAGTGAGGATTAAGCAAACCAGCAATCTCCAGGAACCCAACACGATCCCTTCCTCCAAAAATTTGCTTCAGCTTCTCATCACAGATAATCACTTTCTTATCAGCAGGATCCTAATAGTGTGACAGAAATCTAGTCAATTCCACATCAAACGTAAATACTACATTATACACTCGTGAAATTTCATTAAATTGATTTGAGGGGATCATGCACATTACATGAGAACACTATAGTTGACATTTCTTGCATCTGAATAAAAATTATCCTGGTTCAATATTTGGAAAACTAAATCAATAACCCCAAACAACTCAAGCATGTTTCACCAAATTTATATTTCAAAAAAAATAATAGTAATAAATAAAACTTACAGTTGGTTGTATATCTTGTAGGTGACAACCAAGGAATTAAACACTGGAAAATGAATTTTTTTCCAGCAAGTACAATACTGAGGAGGAAAAACATACAATACATTTCCACCTTTTCTTATTCAACAAGGGGGTTGGGAAGTGCTAAGCTAAGCAATGAAAGCCTAACCGGTTAACTATTTGAATTATACATATACTTGAACCGACGCTGATATTGAATGCAAGAAAACAATTCCACAAGTCAGATTAGAAACCAAATAAGCTATTTAAAACGTAAATCAACATGGCGACCCAAAACCAAAGAGATTGACTCGTGATACAATATAAAATTTATTATGGCATATCTTCCTGTATTATTTTTCCAGTTGATGCACAAAACCAACTGAACTAAGATTGCTCAAACTTGTCTGGAAGATCACAAGTGGAAATATGATATTTACGCACCTGCCACCTGATCAACTTGCATAAGGAAATATTGGGAAGAACAATTCTGAAATCAAAAGTATGTAATGAGGCAAAAACAGCATTCTACGGCATCAATAAAATATAACGAAATTTGCACAATTGGTCTCCAAGTTCTGTTTGACATCTCATCTCCGAACTTTTAATTTTGTAACTTCATTCATCCGTAAGGTTTCCGTATATTTGATCTTTGTACATCATCCTCACGCGTTGCTCCTTTCTGATACTAATGTTAATCCAAGCACAAATGGATCATAAAATACTCGATTCCATTCACAAGCAACAGACGTTACGCACATCTAACAGGGGAAAACATGAAGAAAAGACAGTAGGTAAACCTTTGGTAAAAAACTTCAAAGAGATAGTGCACTAACCAGAAATTGGTTACAAAAACAAAACCAATGTACGTGAAGATAAATTAAGTCCAATTATGAGAAAGTATATAGTTTATATGAAAAAGAAACTTGTCTAACTACATCCCCAATTTTACTAAGTTTCGCCTAAGAAACTTAAGAACAGGGGAAAATAATTGTACACACACAAGAATTTCCATAAACTTAGATAAACAACAATATATATACCTGAAGATTGTGCTTCTTGATGTAAGCCCAAATCTCCTTGAGAGCTTGAGTACGGGGAATCTCAGTGACCCCACCAAGGAAGGCCTGCATTTCCGGCGAGACACGACGCGGCTTCGTTATGCCTCTCGGCTCGCGCTTCTTGGTCTCTGTAGCCGGTTTCGACGCGGCAGCTAAAGTCACCGTGCGCACAGTGCGCAGGTTGGATGGAACGAGCCTAACAGTAGCAGGAGAAAACTTCACCAACGACGCCGTATCGCCCACATATAAGCTTGAGAAAACACCCACAGAAATCGCCATTAGAACTGAGGTCGGATTTGTAGAAACAGGATTTTGAACGAGAGTTTGTGTGAGAAGATAAGAGTGAAGGGTTTGTGCGCGTGTGAGAGAGACTGAAACCCGCCTCCTTGTCTTCCGGATTTCCAAAATTTGTACCCAGGATAACAAGAACAAGAAAATAATAATTCAAAAAAGACAAAAACCTTTTTATATATTATTGAGTAATGCTATTTATAGTTGCTCATTATGGTAGTCATTTTACGTGATATTCGACATAAAAGCATGTGATGATATATTAATTTGATAATTTTTTCTTACTTCATATATCAAATCAGTAACTGTCACGTAGGACGATTGTTACAACGAATGACTGTAAATAATATTATTTTTTATTAATATAAGTTGTCCCCAACCTTTCAACCCTGTTACGATTTTGCCTACATTCCTTTTTTTATTTAATTTTAACATCAATATTTCATTAATTTATACATTTTGTCCTTATAAGATGATTCAGTTAGTTCCTATCGTTAATTGACGCAAGTGTAGTACACATATTGGACCATTGAAGGGCAAAATGTCAAAATGGGCGCATTATTCCCTACTTCAATTAGAATTCATTTTATATTTTTGATTGGGCAAATGCTTCGGCCTGACATTTTATATTTATTCAGAAATTAATTTCTTTCTCATATTTTCTATGGGTATTGAAAACAATGGTTAACATTTTTCCGATGTGAAAATCGTTCGGAGCTCAAGGTTTCGTGGATGGAATCAACCATGACATAAGATTTTCCTGTGTGAAAGGAAGGAAAATGCTTGTAGTTTCTTCATGTGGTATGACCAATTAATTTTCAAATGATCTAAGTAGATTATATTTGGATTATTGTGGTCAAATGAAAGATTGGAAGGCGAAATAAGAGTCGTACGAGCTAAAAGAGCATATGCAATACGGCAATAGAAGACGTACGATTTGAAATGACAAATGCAATGGATGTCATATTTGAAAAAGTAGATAACCAAATCCAATCCCAATCGAAAACTCAACAACATCAGCAAGCACAACCAGAAGCGCTACCTCAACAACGTTTGTGAGTTTGTTGAAGAATTGGTTGCAAAGTGGTTGTTTATGTAGTTTTGTACATTTTGTCCCGAACCTTTTCCATTTACACATTTCCGCAGTGATCTATGTATGATTCGTAGTTGTAATGTCATATGTTGTTATATACCCAAATATCGAATGTAATACATTTCATGTATTTAATCAAAAGATTATTTAAATGGATTGTACAAAGTATATATAATTATAATTATCTTTAATGTTTATATAATATGACGTTGATTGACAACTACGAGCTCTACATATTGTTATGCATCTTCCAACGAGACTCTAAGCATTGCCAAGTGATAGTCACACGGTAAGAAATCTTAGGCCGGCATTCTGTGTCATTCTGCACATATGGCAATTGGCCAGATCCCTATTAGCCAAACCCACATGGGAAGCCAAGCCCTTATGGATGAAGTGAGATAAGTTGAGGCATTTAGGGAAGATCTTGTAACAAGTGGGTGATGCGACAACTCATTGAATAAGTAGCTCTACTCAATCAACAAGTCAAGTCTAATCTTACATTCAGGCCTAGGGTTGCAAATGGTCATAACATTAAATGTACTTGAGCCTAGATTTGACAGACTGATGCCCATGACAAGAGGCCCCCGGATGCTGGGATGAGGCCATGTGTCTCTTCATCCAATGGCTCGTACTCAGCCCCTTTTAATATAAGAGCTCACAATTGGTATCATTTTAAAGGTAATGCAAGTTTAGACTCTCAAACTATAACTTTACAATATTACTATTTTACTCTTTACTCTCCAAAATCGCCCCACTTTTTACATTGGAGGCTCACGTCTAAAGTCCTCCCACACTCATATATCTACTTTCTCAACTAACTTGACCGTCGAAATGTGCCAACCCCACCTATCGGAGGAGGCCATGTGTGACTAACGATTTGTCCAAGTGTGTAGGAATATGTCTTGTGTGGACGTGAAAATTCTTAGGATTTGTTGACCACATCGAAGGTACATCTTTTGAGGTTAGTACATACTTTGAATCTCCCAAATACAAAATAAGCCAAACATCAATGTCGTCAAAATTGGACTAAACTAATCAAAACAACCAAAAAAATCAGGAATTAGCTAGTAAATATGTTTCATTATGACCTAAAACCATTTACCAATAAACCCTAAAAAAAAAAAATCGTTTAAAAGTAAAGTCCAATGACAAACCAGTGGCCAAGGCTGATTTCTATGATTGATTGGTTTATTTTTCGATAATTATTAAAAACCAAGGCTGTGGTTGGTTTAGTTTTTTGTTTTCCATTTTCGGTTTCAAAACGATTTTTAGTTTTCTTCGAAAACGCCTCATTTTGGGCATTTTCCGCATTTTGGACATTTATAACTGAAAACGCTCAAACTATAAAAAAACTGTTTTGCATTTTCAATTATAAATTTTATCTCGTTTTCGAAAACGTATTTTCGAAAACGACGAAGCAAGCCCATTTTCCACATTTTTTAAAACGAAAAATGGAAAACGACCCGAAAACGCCAAACCAACTGTAGCCTAAGATTTCTAGGGTGAATACAAAAAAAGTTGAAGGCCCAAAAATTATTGTTTCCCTACCATATGCTGGCCATCTTATAGTTGCTTTCTTTTACATTTTTCCTTTCAAGTTTCGATTTAATATTATAAAGTGTAATGCCACCAGTTGTGTTACATTCTCAATCTAGGTGCTGTTAGATGATAGGGCTAAATAAAATATGAAATTAAATAAGTCGTTTAATTTCACTTATCAATTAATGACACATTAATAACACAAATTGGGGTTGCAACCTCAGTAAAGCTAAATAGTATTACTCTGTTACAAATAGACACCCTTCAAGCCTTTTAGGTTTTTAACACCTTTCGCGAATATCTTAAGGAATGAAGTGCTATTTTTATTTGAAAAAATATATAAGAAATTTGTTCCTCGAAATAAATTATTTCTTTTCTTGAAATGTGTGGTTAAAACTAAATTTCAAAAAAGTTTTTGAGCTAAATAATAATAATAATAATAATAATAATAATAATAATAATAATAATAATAATAATTTCTAAGTACAGGCTAAAATGTTGTATAAAATATGTTGAAAGTTTAGCTATATCTATTGTCTCAATTTGTTGTGATTATAAGTGGATATAATGAATATTAAATGTAGCCGAATTTAAAAGTCTTTTAGCTACATTTATTAATTAATTTTAAAATTTATGTATTTTTTTTTTCAAATTCCTTGCTATATTTATTTCTTAATTTATTATAACTGGTCCAACACCCTATCTCAATTCGATTCAACTTCTAACTATTTGCCTTTTTTGGGATTAATGACCCAAAGTTGCTACTCGTACATAACCGAAAGATAGAGTGAGGTGGAAAAAATGAATAAAATGAAATGACAAGACCTAGCATAACCCATTGTATTTCCTCAATTCTCATACGAAGCCCTGAGAGGCGAATCGAAACTCCATCTCTTCTCTCTATTCAATCTTCATCTTTCTCCTCCTCCAGCGTAAAACTCAACGCCACCTCAGCCGGAGTCCAAGAAGTTACAGTTGTTTGATTTATCTCGGTAATTTCCTTCAACCTCCGAAGCTGCAACAATAGTCTTCTCTGATGAAATCGGCAGGTAAATTAGGTGCTTGTGATATGTAGTTTACGTGGGTATGTCAAAGCCAGTTTACATGTAGTTTACATTGGTATCTCGAAATAGGCAAATAAAATTTGTGTATTTTTTGAATTTTCAGTAAGAACCCAAAATCTGAGATTCTTTATATCACAAGCACGCCTGGTCACTGCAAGAAGCATTTGAAGTTGACATACATTCTGGGATTCTTTGTATAACAAATGCTAATGAGAATTGCATTTGAAAAATTAATTTTGGGTTCGGAGATTCTGATTACTACAAGAATTGTATTTGAAAATTAATTTGACCTTCATTGTATCACATACATGCCTGGATGTGTACTGTAGGATTGCATTTTATCACTACAAGAATGTGTCACTGAATATGTGTATTGTAGTTTGATAAAGACACATTTCATGTGTCACTGAATGTGTTTATTGCAGTTTACAATGACAGGGCAAAACGATGGAGTCTGCTATGGATGTAAAAGACGTGGTCACGTCTTTGCGGATTTCCAAAATAAGGTCCTTGCTCGTGGTGTAAAGATGCATATGTGAAGTGTTTTGCGGTGGTCTAGAACATTAAGAACAAAGATAAATTGTTCAAGTGTTGTAGCAAAAATTGCAGATTCTGGGAATGGGTCAAAGAGGGTGAAACGTCCGGTGAATCAAGTTCCGTTGGCAACTCTTTCGGTAATCATGTGGCGACCGAATTAGAGATCAATGTCTCTTGCATGTTTGAAAGATGTGTTGATTAACTCAAGAAAAAGACGTGGAGATGACCATGAAAATACGCAAAGGAAATGCAAATGCGGAGTGTGATAAGAAAAGAAAGGGGCCGGCATGATTTTCTGCACCAGTTTTGGATGTCAATGTTTGAAGTGTCTATGTATCTATCAAATGTTTCTTAGTTTGGAATTATGAATGAGTGCATATTAGTGTATTCGCTAGTTGCTAGGCTGGTAGGAAAATGGTGATTTTCATATTGGAACTATCTGTGGGCTCTATATTTTTGTAATCAGTCACAATATGAAGTTCAATCATTTTGTTATTGGTATATCAAGTGTCCATCGGTTTGTTTTGAATACTATTTCTTTAACCAAATTTGCAATCTTTAGCAGGCATGTGTAACAAGTTTAGCAGAGACTGAATCTGGTTCAAGTCATTCCAACAAACAACTAAGATTTGCAAGCTCCAAACTTAGGGAAATGAATGGGTATGGCTGCTATAATATTCATTCTGTCCATTTAGCAAGAGAAATAATCATTGTAGTGCTTGGTTTGGAGTTAAATCTAAAGTCAGACAGTTGAAATTTTCAGTAACATCAAATTACTCCTTCTAATCAAAATCTGCCACCTAATTATTACAATTGAGCCGGAATTTAGTGTCTCAATATGTAAAATAAGGCTAAAAAGAGAAGTACTACTTAGAACACAATATTAAAATATCAAAAAGCTTT